CCATTCCCTTCCCTTGACATCACACTATCAGAGAAAAGAATGAAAACAAGCAGAAGTATAAGAAGTAACGACACCGAATAAAAAGAATATTGAGGACTATGGAAAGGAATGCCATTAACCAGTACCGCCAGCGATGATGGAAAGCGCCCCCTTTTATGCGGCATGGGTGAGAACTCGCTAAAGGTTAGGTGTAAGAGCAGCCAGTTGGTAGCCGGCACATGGCTGCAGCTCATACAGGACAATTGACCATATTCACCTACTAATAAAGTTTGCTTAAGCGGATGAGAAAGTCTTAAAGAATTCGCACAAGGTAGAGAAGTAATGATCCATAACCTCATATCGGGCCCTGTTCACCTGTTTTTCTAATAAAAAAGAGAGAATTGACGAACCAGTTTTCTTACTCATCCACGCATTCGTAGTTCCTGTTGCTTTTGAGTGTAGATAAGAAGACGCTGCAGCATAAACAGCCGCGTCAAAATTCGAATAAGAGTTGGAGGAGTCTGAAAATTCGAACTAAACACGTAGCAAAGGAAATACAAGCTGACTGAACCTCAAATACAGCTAAGGCATCTACTACACTTCCACATAAGTAGAGATCGGGAAGACCCTAAGGAATGAAGCTGAAAACAGCCGCAGGTCGGATTAATACTGCTTCAAAACGACAAGCATACAACAACATCTATCCGTACTTCTACTTCAGCACCTTATGTAAATTTTTTGAGGATGTCAGTCTTCACTGCCAATTTCATTTTAGTTGGGCCTTACTTTAACAGCATAAGAACCATAAAACGAGGTCTGAACAAGTCTTGAAATTCAATCTCCCGAATTTCAAGAAATCACAAATGCATTCGGAAAACACAGGTGTAGGGAATTTATGTTAACCCAGCACTTGGTGAGCACCGTAGTTGTCTTAAAATGACACCAATTGCTGGGTTGACCTAAATTCCCTACACATGTGTTCTTGTTTTGAGCTCGACTATGCCTCCAAATGGGGCAAAACAGTCCACTGAAATTGTAAGCAAGAACGCCCCTCAGTACAGCGTCTCGCATCCCTCTTGTTTTCGCGGAAGCGAACCTTAAAAGCCGATGGAAGGTGGCAACTAATGATGTAATATGAGCGTCTCTCAAGCCAAGGTTTGTAATCATGCAGTGAAACTCTCTTGGTCACTTTTTTTTCGAAGCTCTTGCATGAAAGCACTTCATAGTTGTGATTTTGACAAACGCAAATCAGGAGACCTCATTTATAGTTCAGTTTCAAAGACACTTAGTAATAACATTTTGTCACACAACAGCTTCACACATGGGGTAAAACCCAATATTGCTTCACACGAGATGCAAAAACACCCACATCATTAAAGTTACACCACCCCTACTCATGGAAACAGTAAGGATTTTCAGAGAATCATTTCTATGTAAATCCATTAGAGCATTATCTCTTTGCATATTAAGGAAAATAAGTTTATGAATTTCAGTCAACAAAAGATAAAGTTTCTCGCAAACCGGAGTTATCCATTGAATGGCAACCTGGTTTCATTCAAATTTTGGAAAAAAACCTCTGTAAGTTCTATATGAAATTTTTTAATGCAGCAATAGCAAAGATATAGCTAGCCCAAAACTCGCACACCGGTTGTAAATGGCGAAAATGACATCCCTTAAATGGCAGCAGAAGAAATCCAAGTACAGGCAAATATAATTACTTTGAATTTTTAAAGAAGAAAGGTGATACAGTAGAAGTACGCATAAATGAAATGCAAACGTAGCTGAAAATTACTCACTAATTGTAAGGGCGGATTTATTGTTTGTGCTAGCAATTGCAGCAAGAGATTTCGCAGCATGGTTCGTTGCCGTTGCCGTCGGCCTGCCGTACCCAACAGTGGCTCCGGCACTTGGTTGGGCAGAGCCAAAGCCTTAAAGGAGCTAGGCAATCAAACAAGTACAGGGTCTGTCACTACAACT